TGTCTTCACTCTCCGTGTCGTTTTCTGGGCTGTACATTTTTCTGTGTATCTTTCTCTCAATCGGTCCAATAGCTCCACCGATTTCTTAGTGATTGTCCACGTTTCGCTCCGTAGCACGCTACTGTACGGATAAGTTTTATGTATGTGAAGTTTGATGTCTCTGAGAACGTTTCGGGATCTCATGATAAGTAACGGGGAGTAGATCTAGATCGCTACTCATTTTTGTTGTTCCCGAGTCTCATCGTTTTCGGTGTATATGTCACAGGTAAAGCGTGCATTTTAGTTAATGTACACATTAACAAGTCAATGTATACATTAACATAACGTTTTAGTGAAAGTATTTATCAGTCATAGAGTGTATACATTTACTAGTGAATGTGTACATAAACTAGGCAGTGTATACATTTGCTAACAGATGTTAGTAAAAGTTATAACAAAGAAAATTTCGAGTTTAGGGTTGGGTTAGAATGACTACAGTTAAAGAAGCAAGAGCAAGAAAATTAGTGTCATATGCCCATATACAGGGAATACAGAATTATGGTGCTTCTTGATATAAAAAACACCTTCAAGTCGGTACCGTGGAAGAAAGTCCGAAAGTCCCTGGAGAGAGCAGGATTGAGAAGAATCTTAAGCTCATACTTAAAGCAGAGAAAGGTCTTAATTCCAGGAGGGATAGAACAGTAAGTCACGTGGGGGGTTCCGCAGGGTTTAGTTTTGGGAGGAACATTGTGGAACATGTTCTATGATAGAGTCCTTTGTCAGAAAACAGAAGGGGGGTAAAGCTTATAGGATATGCTGACGACCTGGCAATAGTGGCGAGTAGGCACACACAAAATTTCAAAAAGATAGGAGAATTGCGGAGGAGCTTATGGGGGAAAAGATCAATGAAAAAAAAACGTTTTGATAGTGCGTGGAAGGGAGGAAGGAGAGATAATTATGAACCTTCTACGATCCATAATGAGGAAAAAAGAGGCTGAAGAGCGACGAAGAGAGTTTGGAGGTGAAGAGAGGTGAGAGCAAGGAGTAACAGCAGGAATGGGTGGAAGAAGAAATGAGAGGGCACTCACCCCCTCACTCAGCTGGGAGACCATTAGTGATGGACGAGAGCTCTGAGGTGGTGGATAGAAGTTTAATGCTTCGGACCAAGTTGAGAAGTCACAACTTAAGATCTTCAACGGAGGTGAACGTTTCAAGCTGGGAGACCGTTGACTATGGATGAGAGGTTTGAAGCTGAGGATGGAAAAGAACAGTAGAATAGTACAGTTAAAGAGAAAAGGGAATGAAGAAGAGAGTTCCAGTAAAGTATTCAACATCCGTATTCGCAAACAGCCTGAAGAAATGCATGAGCGATACCCGACCGTCTAGACGTCTAGGGGGAGTTTTTAGTGCAGTAGACCTAGCAAACAACACCACAGCCATGAGAGTCCCACACTCCCAATCGGATTAGTTCAGGCGCCATATTCAGTCGGAGATCAGTCATAAAGATTTTCTCCTCCTCTGCGCCAAAAAAAAGGGTTGGGTTGGGTTTCGTTATGTAATATACTAGTAAACGTGCTTTAAGCTTTAACTGGGTGTCATTAGTAATTGTATACATCAACTAGTTAAAGTTTACATTTCGTATTTTATATACACATTAACTAGATAAATTATTTAATGCATTGACTAGACAATGTGTACATTCACGCAAAGAATGCTTTAACTGTAACATATACATTGCTGCCCAAGCAGCTGAAGTTGTCCACTACTTCGAAGCTATAGTCTCCAATTATAACACTCTGCCCAACACGATATCACCGNTTTTCTCTTCGTTAATCCTTAGTCTAACTTCTCTTCCAAACGTTTCAATGTTTTTAAAGGTTTTTCCAAAGGATGTTAAGATTATCTTCATATGAATTCCAATATTAGAACATGCCAAAAGGGTAGCTAATTTTCCAGAAATATATTTTGCGTTTAAATTGACTTTTCTAGAATAGTGGCTAGTACATTTTTAGAATCTCGTGAATTAATTTTTTCGTATTTTGGACTAATGTTCGGGCTTACATTCGTGTATAAACAACGAGCCGAACACGGTGTCAATCCGAGGGCTGTACAAGGTTAATGGGAAAGAAATAAGATCGAGCATTTTATAATAGAAGAAACTATGGTGAATTGAATGGCGGTCAATGAAAAAGGTCAGTTTTGTGACTGATTTTTGTGAATTCGAATCGGGCATTTCCACTTTCATATTGATTAAGCTTTCTAACAATTGTTCGTTAAAATCGGTTGAGAGGTTATCTTGTTAAAATTAAAATACTACACCTGTACAATCCTATTTCATTTAGGGCTAACTTCGTATAGGTTATGTGGACGTATTCTCTAGGATTATACATTTGATAATATTTGATTCAAAAGTTGAATTACTGGGCTGATTTGATATAATATTTGATTAAATTTTGATTTTTATAAAATCACTAATTGTACTTTTATACTGGTTTATTATAAGTAAATCCGCTTTACATGTTTCGACTAATTAGTCATCTTCAGAAGCGCTACAAATTGACAACAAGAATGATAATAAAAGTTGTTACAAATATGAAATGAAATAAACTTACTTGTCGTAATATAAGAAAAGGCGTTCAAAAAACTTCGCATGAAAGTATAAGTCGTAAATAAGGTTATATATTAACGGTGATATTTAAAACAATTATTGTAAATATTAATTTAAAAAACTATAAAACTAATATGTTAAAAATGTAAATGTAAAGTTTAAGAATTAAAATTAAAAACGACGTTACATGAAAAGTTACAAAAATAAAATGATTGAGAAATTGCAAGAGGTAACCACTTTTTATGAGTTCGCGAAAACCAGAAATAAAATGTATAAATGCGCATGTGTTCAAAATAAAATAAAATTACATAGAAGTTGTTCAGATGAAACAAATCCCTTCTGCGAGTATAATTGTCTGCGAGGCAACAATTCTAAAATTTGTTTTTTAAAAATGTATGTAATGTATATAATTTGTATTTTGTAGTTTAATATTTCTAGGCGTTCAATAGTAAGGTAAGGGAAGGGGATAATAAAATTTGGATTTTTAAATTAATAGAAAAATATAGGATAGGGAATACAAGGATACGGTGTAGACAGGAGTTGGGTGTTGCCGCAGGGACCCCAAAATCTACGAACAGTGTGTGCGGCTAAGTACACTGATCCTCGGTATGTTGGGGAAATGGGTTATTGAGGCATTTGTATAAGGGTGGCTTTAAGGGGAGGACCTGATCATTAAGGCACTCAAGTCTTGTATTAGTTTTTATGAATTTGTCTATTTCATAGCTCTCTAAAAGCTCAAGTTTGTGGGCTTTATTTTGTTTATGTATCAGTGTTACATTTTCTTTAATATCAAGTGTGGTTGTGCAGAGATAGGTGTTTACCAAAATTAGAGTTGGGTTTTATTAAATGTTCTCTAATTCTCGTTTTTAGGACTCTTCCTGTTTCGCCAATATATGTGGCTCCGCAAGTATTACATTCTAAACTGTAAACACCGTTAAGTTCCAACAAGTCTAGCTTATCTTTTGCATTATGCAAAAGTTTTTGTAAG